TCTCTCTCTCTCTCTCTCTCTCTCTCTCTCTCTCTCTCTCTCTCTCTTCTTTGAAAGCATCCCCTGTAGATCGGGCTGGCCTTGAACTCACAGATATCCACCAGCCTCTACCTCCTGGTGCTGGGATCAGCAGGGTGTGCCACTATACCAGGCTGTTCTGTCTTTAATCACCACCACATATATTAACATCTGTCCTCTGTCCTCCACGACTTAGACTCAGCTTCAGAACCCATAGCTCAGCAGTCCAGGAAAGCACTATTTGTTCAGCTGGAAGTAGTTGATGGGGCTGACGAGGTGGCTCAATGGTTTAGAGCACTTGCTCTTCTTCCAGAGGAACCGAGTTCAGTTCACAGCACCTCCATCAGCTGACTCACTGACATCTGTAACTCTAGCTCCAGGGAATCCAGAGCCTCCTTCTGGCCTCCCTGGACACACACAGCATACACATAGACACTGACACACTCATGAAAATATAAAAAATAAAGAAATACAATGCTGGGTGGAGTGGTACACGCTTTTTATCTCAGCACTGAGATGCAAAGACAGGCAGATCTCTATGAGTTCAAGGACAGCCTGATTCATATAGTGAGTTCCAAGACAACCAGGGCCACATAGAGGGATCCTGTCTAAAAACCCAACTAAATAAATGAATTAATTAACCAACTGGGGGGGAGGTGATGCATACCCTTAATTCCAGCACTTGGGAGGCAGAGGAACACAGAAATCTGTGAGTTCAAGGACAGTTTAATCTGCACAATGAGCTGAAGGGCATCCAGGGCTACATAGTAAGAACCGACATCAAATTTTCAAAATTATATATCAAAATATGTATAATGCTTAAAGGTCAAATAAATATCCAAGGTCTTCAATCCCAGCATAAGTGAAAAATAAGTATGCCTATGGGAAAGGCTGGCTGGAATACAGTCTCAATAGATTATATGTAAACTCCTCTCGCTGGGCACAGTGGTGCATGCCTTTAATTCCCTGCTCTCGGGAGACAGAGGCAGATGGATCGAGGCCACCTGGTCCCCATAGTTAGTTCCAGGACAGTCAGGGCTAAGAGAGACCCTGTATCAAACAGCAACAACAGTAAAAATCTCCTTCTTCTGAAAAAGACATAATTATTTATTTAGCTATTTTTCAGACTTGGCTTTGAAATAATAAAACTCTGTTCTCTTGCCCCAGAGACTTCATTTCCTTTCTTTCCTGGATAGAGGTTGAGAAATGTGGGTGCACAGATGAACCCGGGAAGGCCTGGCTATTCAGATCCTCCTGGCCTCTGACTCGCAGCCTTCTCTTCCTCCTTTTGTATGGATCAGGATCATGCTGGAAGAGCTGCCTGTTGCACAGGGTTACCCAGAAGTTCTTCATCTCCAGCCTGTAATGGTCTGTCCTGTCCCTTTAAGAGACAAACCCTGCCTGCTCCCTCCCTGTCAGCTGAGGCAAGCAGATCTTCCTTCTGCTTCCAGCCTGAGCACCTTCTTTTTCATCTCTCTCTCTCCCAAAAAGGTAGCTGCTGCCTATGGCTCCTCTCCTCTCCCCCTCCTCTCTCTCTCTTTGTCTCTCTCTGTGTCTCTCCATCTCTCTCTCTCTCTCTGCTCTTCCCACTTCTCCCCTTCCCTTTTTTCCCTTCCCTTCCATAACCCACTAAATAAATATCTAACCTCATTCTGCATGGCGTGCCTAATAGGTCTCTGTCTCTCACCTGTCATGCAAATCCCTGCCTGCGCCTCGTGGTCCACAGGCCCCTTGAGGAACTCTGCCATTTTATTTAAACCATAACACAGCCCCTATACAGGAAGCTGAGGGGAAATTAGAGGAATACTTTCCTATGACCTGCTTTGGATAAGAAGTATTTTTGGCTTCTTGGATACATACTGGGAAAGAGCAAGGGCAAGAGGCAGGTGGTACAGAGAAGATCAGAGACACCTTGGTTCTGAGCTGCTTCTAAAGACCTCTAAGGCCTGTTGATTCAAAGTTCCCAGCATGTCAAACCACCACAGTTTGGAGATTCATTTTCTGACCTCCAGCAGTATCAAAGTGGAGTAAGAACCTAATCTCTTGCTTGATTTGTTTCATTGTATTTTCACAGGGTTCCACTCTGGTAGCCCTCTCTGGCTGGCCTCTGCCTCCACTCCCACCTCCCCAGTGCTGGGCTTACAGGTATGAACCACCACAAGCAGGGGACCTAACCCAGGATTTTGTGCATGCTAGATAAACACTCTACCAACTGAGCTAAATCCCTACTCCCAATGCTACCTATTCTTAAATTAAAATTTAAATAAATTTGGGAGGCAGAGGCAGGTGGATCTCTGGGGATTTCTGTGAGTTCAAGGCCATCCTGGTCTACAGAGCGTGAGTTCCAGGAGAGCCAAGGCTACACCCTGTCTCAAAAAAAAAAAAAACCACAAAAAACAAAAATAATTAAATAAAAAAGGAAGGGAGGAATAGGCAAATAATTAGCTAAATTAAATTTTAAAAAACTTTTAATTTTTTGTGGTATATGTATGTGTATGTTACTGGGGTTTAAACCTAGGGTGTTAGGCATGCTAGGCTACTGCTTTACCACTAAATTATATGCCCAATCACCTTCTTTTATCTTAAACACAGTGTAATACTTGAGATGTCTGCCTACTGAGTGAACCCCAGGCTATCTTGTGAATCCGGGCTGGCAATTTCAGACTGAAGCCTTCACAGAGGAGCCAAAGAGGCCCATATTCTGAGCATTAAATTTCAGGGCATGCTATTCTATGCTTTTGAGATTTTTATGGGCTCTCTCTAGTGCCTGAGGCCAGCTGGGTGTGAAGGTAAGGAAGCCGACTGCAATGATCTGTCCCTTCCCAGGGTGTCTCAGAGGAGCTCTTTCACCCTGCCACCACCCACCGCCCACGCAGTTAGTGCTTTACTTGAAAACCAAGCTGTTTGCATGGGGGAGGTCTAACTGGGAAGGAATTCCCAGGTCCTTCACCTGCATAATCACCCCACCTCATTTCCACACTGGATCAGGTCAGCCCTGGTAAGGGGGATTTGCACACAGCTATGCTTCTAAGAATGCAGGGTCTGAGAGTTGGAGAGGAGCTCCAAAGTCTGTGGATCTAAACCACAACAAGCAGCAATTGCTTCTGTAGTCTGGCGTCCCATCTCTTTGGACACCATTTGATCCTGTGAGCTCCTGCCACGTGGTCACTGTCCAATGTCATAGTTACTTTTTGCCTCACTGTGGCAAAATAGTCCTCAGAAGAAACTTAAAGAAAGAAGGCTTATTTTTAAAGGGACATTACTCCTTCATGGCCATGGGGTGTGGTGAAGGGAGCCTAAGGCAGCATTGTACCTGCAGTAGGGAAGCAAAGAGAGATGAATGATGGTGCCTCACCCACTTTCTCCTGCTTACCTGTTTACTCAGTCCAGGGCCCCAGCCCTGCGATGGTGTCACCACAGGTAAGGTGGGTCTTTCCTCCGAAGGTAAACTTCTCTGGAAAGACTCTCATAGGTACACTTCGAAGTATGTCTCTTAGGTAATTCGACACCCAGTCAAGTTGACCTATCTTGTAGGTAACTCCACACCCAGCAAGTTGAGCATCAAGGTCCACCATTATGCCCACTGTTGCACAACAGTGTCCCTGTAGCACCCAATAGCACTGTATTTTTTTGAAGATATGGGAAACAAGGCCTAAACGCTAGTTCCCATTGCATTTAAGCCTGAAAGCCTAACTCAGTTGCTACAAGTTATTGTCAAACTATCAAAATTAGCTGCCACTACTCTCCTCTCTCTCTTCTCCTCGCCTCAAGTACATTCAGTTTTGTCTTGTTGAAGATGACATTTCCTTTAAGGCTAAGTTCTCCTTCAGCAGTCAAGTTGCACATCCATGGAGATGTGCCCAGTGATGTAACGACTGCAGAAGGGTCCCTCTCACTGTTGGGCTGTACATAAATAAACATCTTAGATCTGTACTCTAAAAGCTGGGCTGGGGAGGTGGCTCAGCAAACACAGGCATATGGTGCACAGACCTGATCACCTGAGTCTGCCCCACGTGTTGGAAGGAGAGAACTACTTGGAAGGGTTGCCTTCCAACCTCCACATGCACACTAGTGGCACAAGCCAACATTTATTTCTGCTCACACACACAAACATTATATTTGTAGTGTATATGTACATACACATGTGCACACATAAAACACTATATTTATATACATATATAAAAATTTTTACATCATATATTTGCTTCTGTTTTTTTCTTTCCTGTAACATGACAGGGCTGGCTTGTTGGGGTGTCTGTCCCTCCCAGTACCCCACAACCGGCAAGCAACAAAGAAAATCACACACAAGACTCCATAAGATTATAACAAGCCAATAAATACCAGAAAATCACACACAGGACTCCATAAGATTATAAAGCTGATTGGCCCATTAGGTCAGGCTACTTATTAGCTCTTATAACTTATGTTACCCCATTATCCTTGTCTACGTTAGCACATGGCTCAGTACCTTTTCCAACGGGGCAGCTTACATCTTTCCTCTCCGGTGGTCTGGGCAGAACTGCGGAGGGAGCTTCCTGCTTTCCAGAATACTCCCAGTCTCTTTGCTCCACCTCTACTTCCTGTCTGGCTTTCCCACCTATACTGCCTGCCTGGCCAATCACCGTTTTATTAAAATATGATTGACAGAATACAGACAATTCTCCCACACCACTTTCCTTTCTCTCTCTCTCTCTCTCTCTCTCTCTCTCTCTCTCTCTCTCTCTCT